GTTTGCTCTATTTTAGGAACAGTATGAGTGACGTCAAAATGAAAAGAAAGAACTGAAGAGGCTCTGAAAATGCATTTTGAAATAAATTTGCCTCATCTACTGATGAAATTTAAAACATTGTAAAGTGCAGCTTCACTGACCATCCTCAAGGGCAAAAAAGCAATTTTTTAAACCGTTCCCATTGTCTACACGCCGCTTCCCAGAAGCACTGCTGCGGGGAAAAAACACAGCACGGCGTGTGTGAAAAGGAAGTGGCCTTGTTGACGCTTCAGCAGGCTGTCTTTTTGAATGCCTTGTCGCACTTAGGTATTCAGTCACAACAGACGAGGAGCTGTCCTTGAGAGCACATGCTCAAAAGAGACGGTAAATGAGAGATCACAAGTTGACAGAACACGCAGCACATGGACAAACGCAGCACGTGTCCTGCTGAACACGCACAGTGCTTTGCTTTCTTTAATATGTTCAACAAAAACCTAATTGAACAAGGTTGTAACATTTTAAAAATCATAGTTCTTAACTTTATGCTGAGATATTTTTCAGCTATTTGATATTGAACTTCTCTTTTAATTCTTCCCTCCCTACAAGAACTAGTAAAAAATTTTTTTATAGATTGACAGTCTTATGATTGAGGTATATATTTAAAGGTACATTCTCTTAAAAGGATTCATATCACCTTACAAAGAGAGATTCTGTTGAAATGATATAAACAGATAATATCGTTTAAAGATTATTACTTTTATTATTTTATTAATAACCTTTATTTAATCAGGCAAATCCCACTGAGATCTCAGATGTCTTTTGCAAGAGAGGCCTGGCCTGTAGGCAGCTTAACATGCATGTTTTTGTACTGTGTGAGGAAGCCAGAGGAAACACAAGGAGAACATGCACATTCCACACAGAAAGACACGGATCTAAATCGGGGATTCAACCCAGAACCTTCTAAACCACTAAACCACTATGCTACCCAAGATATTATTTTTTTGAATGGCCTCAGATTAGAAAAAGAGAGTTTAATGAGTAGATTGATGAGCGTACAGTTAGTCCTAACAGGGCCAAGGCCAAAATGGATCATTGATGTCTTAACTTCCATCTTAAATATTTTTAACAGTTCATTTAAACGCTATTTTTCCTCATCAATCTTGTATTACACTGTTATTCCAGCAGAAATATTATGAACCTCCTGCTCAGATTAGTTAGCTCATTGAACTGGTCAGAATTAGAGATGTCACTTCTAACCCGAACCCGGAGCCCGGCCCGACCCGGATTAGGGCAGGGCCACAATGATGTGCTTAATTTGCAGGCCGGGCCAGTGTTGGGCTTTGGATTGCATCATTGCTCGGCACGGTCATTTGACCGCATGCTGACCGGCCTCAAAAGAGGTATAAAAAAAAAAGTTCAGTTAAGCTTCAGTTGGGACTATGCTGCCAGTGATCCATCAAAGCCCAAATGGACGTTCATTCAGTCGCTGCACTCAGTGGATGCGTACGGCCGACGATCCAAAAAGGTGAGATTCCAAAATATCTGACATGTCAGAGCAGGGTCCGTGTATGAATAATGCAGAATGCAGGCAGAAGCAAGGATTTAATGCACTTTGACGGCCATGAAAGGACAAACAACCCCTCAGCTATGATCTTGTGCCCCCTTAGCCGTGCGTGCCCACTGACCATTAATAACTATATAAGCAGTCAAAGCTTAATTAAAAAATGTCGGGGGGGGGGGGGGGGTCGGGTTTGGACCTGTAATTACTGTTAATTCCTTGGGTTGGCTGGTGTTCGGAAATGATGGCTACGGGCTGGGGCCGGGTCAGGTTGGACTTTTTGGGCTTGAATGCAACTTCAGTCAGAATTAAACTAATCCAGATGTTCTCGGCGGTATCAACAACAGGTAGGATATTTATTGTTCTTTTCCACAAAACGATCATATCACACCGGGCACTATTTGCCCCCCAGGTTTGTTGGCAACTTTTCCAAATAAATAAAAAGTTTAAGGCAAAGCAAATACAGTATCCACTGAAACTAAGCGCGGTGGATGTGTGAACGTCTCACTTTTGAAGTCTGATTCTTATTATGTTTCAGAAGACGTTCAAATTGTTACGTCCTCCTGGTGCGTTTAATGCAGATTGACAAATGAAGATGAATGGGCCACCATAAATTGCACTTGTGGATAAAAATCTTTAGTGTTTGTCCTTCTGTTGGACTGGTAATAAATGACCCTCATATTGTGTTATTTAGCGCCACATTCCTTTAGTATTGATTCCTGCCCGCTAACCCAGTGGGAGGCTGTCAGGACAGACACGATGCAGAAGATAACAACAGGAGGGGGAAAAAATAGATTAGTCGTTCCTCTCACATGGAGGCTTTTGAGACTAATTACATTGTGTGTGTCACTTAACAGCGTTTTGGGAGCTGAAAGCAGTGTTCAGAGCCTGAGGGTAAACTCTCATTTGGCATTCAGCTCCCTTTCGCAGCCTCCTGTGGCAGCAGGAAGCTTTGCAAAGTTTCAAACTCAGGTGGCATTTACAAAGAAGGGGCTTGGCATATTTGTTTTAACTACAAACTGTGTTTGATTCATTGGCTGCACAAACTCTGAAATATCTGAAAGGGTATTCACTGACACCAATCATTTCACTGTTTTTAAAATTATCTCAGTATGGCTGAATAGTAGCAGAGAGTGTGCATAAATAAGTGCAAGTCATATGTTGAAGTAATGGTAAGAGAAAGAACAAAAAGCTGCCTTGAGATGCTTGAAGCAAAATCAGCTGACAAGGAGTGACATCTAGTGGTAAATGAAAAACATTCCTAGTGATGCAAATGCTTTGAATTTACCTGGAATACAAGCTGAAAATATTTGTGTTTTTATTCTCAGGTCAGTATGTCAGGGATCAAAATGTTATCTGGTCATGTTTAGCTGCTAGTTGTATAGCTGAAGTGTTTAAGCAGTTATATTAGTTTAATGCTATACTGTTCTAGAGTTTACATAGTTATTTTTCTATTTTGAATTAAATGTTATGGTCACTGCTTTTCAACACTTTTAGAGTGTAGTCAGTGCTACTTTAGAATCCCATTATTTGCCAGTGATGTGGCCTAAAATAAATTTATTTTTGGACTTTATAAAATATCTAACACAGCTTGTATGATACATGGGAAATGGGGGGAGAAATGTAATTTGTTTGTTGCAGTTTTGTATGCTCCAGTGGCACCTCAGCAGTCCTTATCAAATTACTGACATTAAAAATGTGTTCAAAATGCACACAATCTTTACTGAGGCAATTTTAACAACTCAAGACACAGCAACTAAAATCCTCAGATTATGCCAAAATGACAACCCCCCCCCCCCCCCCCACACACACACACACACAAAAAAAGAACTAAAACACCTACAAGTATTTAAAATATCATCTAAGCGTATTTGATTTTATAGGTAGTCTTAAAGCTTATTTTCAGTATAGTTCTTTGTAAAATCAATTTAAGATCTTTAAATATTTTAAATAAAAAAAAGCAATGTCTGTATGGTTGGTGGGCTCAGGCTCCATCAAGCTCAATGAGTTGGCATTGTTTTAATGTTGCTTTTAACAAAAAGTAGTTTATTTAAGTGTACTACGAGTATACTTATTTTTCACTAAAAATGAGGAAGTGTACTTCAAGTTTACTTTTTATAAACTTTATTTGATGTACTTAAAAATAGTATAGTAAAGTATACTTGGCTAATACTGAAAAGTATAAAGAGAAGTCTAAGACTAAGTACATTAATACTAAGCCTTACCATAAACTTATACTTTAATACTGAAGCTTACACTTGTACTTTTTACTTTAGTATATGCTACTCTTTATTTCTTTTTTATTTTTATTGTATTTTATATTTTCTTTATTATATTTTATTACTCTTTATTTCTCTTAATTCATAAAAGTATACTTAAAGTATACTTAAATAAACTGCAATGTGGACTAGAAGTATATAACTAATGGAATGGCAGTATAGAGAAAAGTATAATTGTGATATACTATAAATGTACTTCAGCAAACTAAAATGTGACCCACAAGTATATACGTAGAACACTAGTAGTGTATTTGAATGTATAATTTGGTAAACTTAAAAAAGACCTTACAACAGTATACTTGAAGTATACTTTTTATAAACTAAAAATGTCCCAATTTAGTCCTAACAAGTATTAAATCAGTATACTTTCTAGTACACTACAAGTACATGGTGTGTAGTATACTTGATATACTTATACTTAAAGTATACTTGCAAAATTTAACTTAAAATGTACTACTTTTTGTTAAGGGAACATTTAAGGAGGGCAAAATCAAGCTAGATAAATACAAAATGTAAAATTGTACAATATGTATACACTCAACAGATGCAACTCCACGTTATTTAATCAGGCTTCCTTTATTGCCAATTTAATGTCTGTTATGCATAAATTACCTACAGGGGGCGCTCGTGTCCAGTGGTTAATCTATTTTTCTTCCTTTCCACCTGCATGAGGTACATTTAAAGAATATTAAAGCGATGTGTTGAAAATAAACGCTTTATACACTGATAAATCTCGACTGAAGCATGAAAAATAAGTGAAACAGACATAAAATAGTTCAAAACCCATTAGATGACAGGTGTTTGGGATAAAAACTTCTTCTTCGTTGACTTTTTTTTGTTGTAGTTTTAACAGCTGTCTGTTTCTTCTCTTTTGAATAAACTTTATTGACTCGACTCCCAGGACAACAGAAAGGAGCCATAAAACGGTTAAAATATGCAATACCTCCCTCCACCGGTCTCCACCCCTTCGGTGAACTAACCACCTACAACAAGTTTGACAGCACAGCCTTTTAGCGCTGAGCAGCAGTGGCAGCAGTTAACTGGACTTTTCTATCAGTTTTTCTTGTTTTTTCTCCATTTTCGTTTCATCATTTTTGTTGCTAGCAGGATGCGCGCGAGCCGCGTCTCCTGCTAGCTATGAGGGACTTTAAATGCCCGTAGATTTCGGTCACTTCTCCCACTTGGAATAGCTTTTTCTGTATCTTGTTTGCGTTGCTTCTGTAAATTATTATATATACGTCAAATAGTTTTTATTTTGCCTGGCGTCGAGTGGAAGCTATAAACATGTCGAAGAGCACGGAGGAGGTGAACAAGCTCACTGAAAGTACATACAAGGTGAGTTCTTGTTTTTTTTTTAGATGGGAAGCTGGAAACACAACAGGTGCGACCAAGACAGGAGAGGTAGGGGCATGTGGGGGAAGCAAATTCCTCCGTACACCCCATGTGGACAGACACTGACTTCCAGGTGTTACCGTTTAGTCTCATCACTTTTCATCATCTCGACTTCACTGATGATGGCGATTCAACATGGCAGCTTACATAGATGATGGTAAATGTCATGTAGGCTTAAAAGGAAGCATTTAAGTAGTTCAGTGTTTAAACTGTTTTCCAACAGGTTTGTCTTGAGTTCACCCAGTTGGCTTTATAATAGAGCTGAAGGAAATAGCCCCACCCTGAGCCTAATGGCATCATTTAAACTTCCCTGGTTGAACTTGAGCATGAGTGACTTAAGTTTTTTTAATTAAATGTGGCTCACTCATTTGCATGTTCATCTCTTAAATTACCTGATGGAGGGAAACGACGACCCACCAGCTTCTCCTAATCCCATGTTTCTTAAACTCAGCATGCTTCTTCTCCACAAGTAGCAGTGGGATGATTTTTATTTACAAAAAGGAGATTTAAGGCTTTTCTCACAAGCATTTAGCCCTTTCGAGAAGCTCTTTATTTGCCTGCCTCCTTTTTAAATCAGCCCCCACAGTTCATTGGAGTGTTGAAATGCAGGAAAAAGACTCCAGGTTTAATAATTCAGTTGGCTGTGTGTTTTGTGTGGTAAGATTATACAGCAAGCTCCTCAGCAGCCGTCACCTCTTGCTCACAGCTGTATAAGAGTTACCACAATGTTTGCAGTAATGGATAGAAGTGGGAAGAGCTGCCTTAATAAAACTGTGAACACTTGGCAAGACCACTCCTGTTTCTGAGCTCAAATGGGTTGATGGGTGTCAGATTTAGTGACACCATTATTTAGGGAGTCACTGCTGGGTTTCTGACATTTGTCATGACATGTCTGTAGTTTCAATGCCAATCATTGACTTTAAGGCCTAAATCAGATCCAGGAGATCATTACACAACTTGTAAAACTTAATTTTAGCTTAAAAGTTAGATTTTTAACACAATCACCACAGGTTAGACAGGACTGGACAGAATGGGGAAACAAATAATGTAATTTTAAGATAAGTAATTGTAAAATTAATGCTAAAACATACAAGAACTTTCTTTTTTCAAAGCTGTTTATTAATGGGGGAGGGAGAAGAGAAATTTTAGTGTTTTTTTTTTTTAATTTATTTACTCTTGATTTTTTGCTTCCCCATTTTTTAGTTGTTCGTTTTGCTCTGCTCCATCATTCATCAGTACAGGTAGAATATAAATAATGCTACATATATGGCATTTGCAATCAGTCTTAGTCAATGTCATGCTGTGGCATAAAAATAAAATGGTTCAACAGATTTGAAGACATTAAATCAAAGTTTTTGTAATCTGCGCTAATGGATCCAGCTTACCTTTCTTTGGTAAAATCACACAAGCCAAACGGTGACTTCATGTTTCTTTAATGCACATTTTTAAAAGAAAATTAAGCAAACTTTTAACCAAAGATTTGGATTATTAAAAGAAACTTGAGTTAGATTGTCAAATTATTAAAATGTGTTTTAAGCAACCAATTGGATTGGAGGATATAATAAGTAAAACTTGGATAGAATATAGTATTAAAGCCACAGAAGAAACTTTTTTGTCTTTTTGTATTCTCAGAATAAAAACTCACAACAGAGAGCTATAGACATATTATCCAGGTGAATGAATAATCATAAAACCAGTCTGAGTTTACCACTATTTTCAACCGTCTGTGTTTGTGAAAACTTTTTGCTTTTAATTTATACTGTTGTTCAGTCATTGTTCCTTTTATTGTATTTCAGTGTCTGCGTTGAAAATGATAAGATAGAACTTTATTGATCCCGCAGGAAAGTGTTGAAATCCATCGGGTTTCAGGGTACCGGTAACTGGGTTATTTTTTCCCACATTACTTTGGTCTGATGGTCACACTCTGCCTCTTTTATCTCAAACCAGAATGTAATGGATCAATTCAACCCTGGACTGAGGAACCTGGTCAACTTGGGAAAGAGCTATGAGAAAGCTGTTAGTGGTGAGTTTTCTTTGGCCATGCTAATAAACATTTGCAGCCCCACAAAATGGCTAACTGAGAATTTAAGGGTGTACTGGGATTGGTGGATATTTTACAGATAATTTTATGTAATTCTGTGGTTTTTAACAGACATCAGACTGTTTTTCTTTAAACCTTCATGACCATTGTACCATTTTCCCAGCAATGTCCATGGCAGGAAAGCTGTATTTTGATGCACTGTCAAAGATTGGGGAGAATGCTGCAATGTCTCCAGTCTCCAAAGAGTTAGGTAAGTTTCAATGTATTTTTGCTGTAATACACTTCAGGACTCCTTTTTCTTAGAGGCATTTTAACCTTTTTCAAAAGTCTTAGAAATACTCCAAAACGTGTCAAAGAAGCTTGCTTATTTTCTCCTTTTTAAATATTTTTGAAGATGGGGTGGGTGGGCTTTGCTTCAGGCATAATGCAACAATAAAGGCCACATATACTGTACCTTGCAGTGTTGACATTATTGATTTTTTTTTTTTTTTTTAGGTCATGCACATGTAACTCGACTGTTATGTTGGCAGTTGACAATCTTTAAAGGAGTTGAAAACGCCTCAGAAAACTTAAGATGCACAGTGTTTAAACGCTAAACACAAAGCTGCTTTCTCTCAGGCTGAAAACTGAAAAAGAAACTCAATCTGTTCAAGTTACTTCACTTGTTCTTTAACTTAAAGTGGGTAAATGTGGAGTTTCTATTTTTAGTATTTTCCAGGTCTGGATAGCAAATAAAACTTGAGTTTGGAATTGGAGACGTAATTTTGATTTTCACAAGGTTCTCTGTAGCCGCCCTGTAAAATATACATATAAATATCCATCAGAGGAGCTCTGAAAACACACTTTACATGTGGAGTTAACAGAGATCCATTTTACTTTATTTTATCATCAATAGGATGTGCATTCTGCAGATACACAACTCAGTAGAAATACTTATTTATTCCTCATAATGCTCGTTTCTGTATTTCTGAGTGTCTGTGATACATTTGGGAATACTATGGCTCAGAGTTTGTTTAGTCCTCTGCTTGTTCATTTGTGGTCCGAAGATGTCTCATATCCTAACTCGCCGTCACAAGTGGCCCACTTTGATTTAACCACTGTATGCCTCTGCTCCCTTGGTGATTAGTAGCAAAACTGCTAATTAAATTCAGCTGCGTGATGGGACCGAGCCACCTGTTGCATGGTGCCAGTTTCCTGGCACAGGTTACTTTTTTTGGATGGACTGCCTTTACCCAACATGTGTTGACTTGACAGGTGGCTGTACAAATGGACAGTTTTCTCCCCTTGTGGAAACTCTTATTTTTTTATTACATTAGTTTGTAAATGGCTTTTATTTTGTATAATATACATTATTTTATGTCCATACTTGGATTTGTTTGTTTAATCTTCCCACATTGTTTTTTTGTAAAAGATAAATAGATGCTAAACATAGCACTTGCAGCGGGTCAAGAACTGATTAATTTATCACACTGGGCTCACCAAGGCTGTCGAGCTGAACAAGGTCTACGTCGACAGCTGCTGACTACGTTGCTCAGGTCTAGAGTTAGATGTTTGGTCTCAAAGTGCAACATCTTTCTGTGCTGTTACTTTGCTCTAGCTGCTTCCAAAAATAAACTCTGTCAAACACAGGATCAGGATCAATTTGAACGGATCTTCGTCTGGGTTTTAGGCATACATTCCTACAGGAGTGGCTGACAGGACAGAAGTTAGAACTGAAAATAATGTATTTTAAAGCCGATATCTCCCCGGACTGCTGCCACTGTTGGAGTTTTGGTTGGTAACAAGATTTGCAGGAAAAAAATGCAAAAAAAATATTTCCTACATTTAGTCCCTACAATTAAAATGTAATCTCTTGGAGTAAACCCTTAATGGCAAATTTGGATCCTTTTAATAATATATAAAAAAAATAATAATAACATCATGGTTAGATGTGGATACTCAGTCTTTTGTCTCAGGTGTTTTCTGCTATAAGGAGAGCACCCATCACGTGTTAACAGTGCATCCAGAAAATATTCAGTGTTTCACTTTTTCCACATTTACACAGTTACAGCTTTATTCCAAACTGTATTAAATTGCTCTTTCCTCAAAATACCCCATTATGACAATGCAAAAGAGATTTTTGAAAATGTATTTAAAATAGAAAATTAAGAAACCACATTTACGCAAGTATTCACAGCATTTGCTTCATACTTTTGTTGATCCAACTTTGGCAGCAATTACAGCCTCAAGTCTTTTTGAATATGATGTCACAAACTTAGCAACCTGTCTTTAGTCACTTTGTCCCATTCTTCTTTGCAGTAATTCTCAAGCTCCATCAGGTTGGATGGGAGACATCTGTGTATAGCCATTTTCAGATATCTCCAGAGATGTTCAATCAGATTTAAATCTGGACTCTGGCTTGGACACTCCAGGACATTCACATAGTGGTCCTGAAGCGCTCCTTTGAGATTTTGGCCACGTGCTTTGGGTCGTTGTCCTGCTGAAAAATGAACAGTCGCCCCAGTCTGAAGTCAAGAGCGCTCAGGAGCAGCTTTTCATCCAGGATGTATTTGTACATGGATGCTAGTCTCTAGTATAGAGACAAGACTAGACTTGTTGATTGTCTTTATTCATCTTTTCCTCTATCCTGACTAGTCTGCCAGTTCCTGCTGCTGAAAAACATCCCCATAGCATGATGCTGCCACCACTATGCTTCACTGTAGGGATGTATTGGCCTGGTGATGAGCGGTGCCTGGTTTCCTCCAAACATGAGGCCTGGCATTCACACCAATGAGTCCAATCTTTGTCTCATCAGACCAGAGGATTTTGTTTTTCATGGTCTGAGAGTCCTTCAGGAGCCTTTTGGCAAACTTCAAATGTGCCTTTTATTAAGTAGTGGTTTTCGTCTGGCCACTCTACCATAAAGCCCAATTGGTGGATTGCTGCAGAGATGGTGGTTCTTCTGGAAGGTTCTCCTCTCTCCACAGAGGAACGCTGGAGCTCTGACAGAGGGATCATCAGGTTCTTGATCACCTCCCTGACTAAGGCCCTTCTCCCCCGATCGCTCAGTTTAGATGGCTGGCCAGCTCTAGGTAGAGTCCTGGCGGTTCCAAACTCCTTCCATTTATGAGTGATGAGGTCAATGGGCTCACTGGGACTTTTTTTAAAGGAGCAGATTTTTTTTTCTGTATTCTTCCCCAGATGTGTTCTTTGACACAATCCTGTCTGAGATTTACAGACAATTCCTTTTGACTTCCTGCTTGGTGTTTGTGCTCTGATATGCACTGTCAACTGTGGGACCTTCTGTAGGCAGGTGTGTGTCTTTCCAAATCAAGTCCAGTCAACTGAATTTACCACAGGTGGACTCCATGTAACTTGTAGAAACATCTCCAGGATCATCAGTGGGAACAGGATGCATCGGAGCTCAATTTAGAGCTTTATGGCAAAGGCTGTGAATACTTAGGTAAATGGGAATTCTTAGTTTTCTGTTTTTAATAAATTTTCAAATATCGCAAATCTTTTTTTGTCATAATTTGCGTGTAGAATTTTGAGGAAAAATATTCATTTAATCTAATTTGGAAAAAGGCTGTGACATAACAAAATGTGGAAAAAGTGAAGCGCTGTGAATACGGTGCACTTTAAATACAGGTCTTTAGCGATGTAGAATAAAAGTCTGCAACTGTTTTTGAGAGAAAATTTGTCACAAATTTTTGGATGTTTGACATTTAAGCAACAAGTCTGCAAGCCTCTGACTTTCACTCTGAAAAATAAATTGTATTCATTTTTCTCATTTTCACCTGCTCTAATGCCGCTTTGAGTTTATTTATAGATAAATAAATTCCTTGAGATGAGCTACGACTGACATGCAGATTTAAGAAGGAAAAATAATGTTCAGATTGAGTCAGCCTCACCTCTGACATGTGGCTATACTCAGTTACCCTCTAATCGCAGTGAGTGACACAGATACAAAGAGAGACGTTGTCCTCTGACACATCAGTTCAGCCTGTGTCATTGCGGTGGGTAGGTGATGATTAAACACACCAAAACTCCTTCTAAGATAATCAAATGAGCCCCACCTTAAAACCACATGGCCTGTAATGGTGACATGATGTCGTCAGGATCTCAGGACTGGTCTTCACGTTGTCATTTAGAAATAAGCTTATGGATGTAGAGCAGCTGCCCGCTCAGAAACCTGAGCTCCACTGACGTGTTGCCAGAAACCAGATACTCTTGAGACATTATAGGACCTCTCCTTTTAATTCCTTCATTCCACTTCCTCCTTCATAGTTTACATCTCCTTTTCTTGAAATATTTAAGCACTGGCATCAATTAGGAGGCAAAAATAAAAAGCATAGTTTAGATGCGGGGTTCTGTGGAACCCTACCTTACCTTTTTATATGTTGTACCTGCTGTTATCAGGTTGTCTGAGCGAAGCAAAGACCAAAAAAAAAAAAACCTCTGATCTCAAGTGTCTCAGCAGTTCATGCAAACATTATATTCTGTTTTGCATTGCTTGGTTAGTTACAGAGAACTTTATGGTTTTATATTATTTGTAAGTGCAAATTATGGCAGCAGCAGCTAGCTGTACATTTTCCTCTTCAGTATGGAGCCTTTCCTGAGAATTTATATATTTTCTCACAGAATAGCTGTATAATGTAAAACTGACAGGTATGTGAAGGTTTTTAAAAAGGGTTTTTGGGATTAAATTTGTGAGATTGAAGTTGTTTAAGAACCGCAGCAACACTCTGCTCTTGGCCTGACTCAGACTAGCTGTTGCATCGTCAGTCTGGTCAAAATTAAACTCCATTTGTTGAAATCGAGTTCAATTAAAGAGCTCTAATGGCTATATTTAATGTTCATTATTATTCCACAGAACATCATTCCAAAAAAATGTAAACCATCTTTTTAAAATGAATATGTTTCTCTTGAAACTGGAAACAAATATCTGCTGTCCCTAAAGAGGTACTGCATAACAAAAGTTAAAGTCCCAGAGTAAAAAAAAAATAAAAATAAAAAAAGTCTTTTTTTTTTTAATTTCCCGTGAGATAACCATGAATAGTTTCAGTCTCTTCTTGAAAACTGATCTTATCTGTTTCTCTTTTTACAGTGAAAACATTTTTAGACTCAAAACCCATTGTTTAGTGTTCCAATGGGAATAGTCTCGGTGTACATAACCCAAGCATGTTTGCATAGTGTTGGGTAGCGCTCACTGATGATGGGATTTATTTAATCTTTATTTAAAAAGTGTGGAAGAATTGTGGAATGTTTTTG